CGTAGACCGCATCAAGTTTCTGATTTGGCACTCGAGACATGAATAACCAAACAGGGCAATATTTAATTTAGTCCTCGGGCCCAAGATAATTCTACCACCGCGAGGATGACAATGCTTGAGTACAAAAAGTTCTTCATCACACTACTCCACCATTGAGGTGGTTCCATCATTCAGATCAGTTTCAGATGACCTTGTTTCTTCGTTTCCCGGAGGAGCTTTTGTTTCTCCATTCTCAAGAGACTTATCCCCGTTTGGAACATCTGCAAGGCCATCCATATCTGTAGTTTCCTCCGAGTAGTGTCCATGATTTGTCTCACCAGATTCATCATTTGCAGATGCTTGTGCGTCATTGTGCCCAGATGTTGAAGTATCCTCAGGTTCCTCTGGTGCATTTGTAGATGGATCTAAATGTTCTGAATAAGTTGCATGCTGATCAAATTGACTGTACATCATACGGGCCTAACAAAAAGAAATTTGAATGTGGCATCAGGACATCCAAGTAATAAGAGATAATAAAAGTATCACAAGCCAGGGACACATCCCCCCGCACCCACCAAACCTCCCCCACGCAAAAATAAATACAAGCAAATTATTAATGTAAATAGAAAGCTTATCCTATGTATTCATACAAAATAGACTGGATTTTCAAATTTTCAAATAGATTAGTAATTGCATTTCTAGTTAATCTACAACTTCATATAATACTATTGATAAGATAAGGTTTTTAGTAGCTTTAGAATTTTTTTGTAGTAAATTCTTTTTTTCAATCGGGTAAATTCATGGAGGTCGTTGAACTTGGGTATAATAACAACCGGATCAACTTCCTTTCAGAAAAAAAACTACTTAATCTGCCATCTCAGACTGAGCCCATAAGTAGTGAACCAAATCTAGAAAGAGAAAGGGCAACATAACAAGAGATTTGGGTCTTTCAGCTGCTCTCTTTCAAAAATAACACCCATTTATTAGGATTTTTTCCATTTCTCCAATATTTATTGTAGTGAGCATCCTCCCTCTCACCATTTCAAGCAAACAACACAGCTCGTGGAGAAGCATGAAGTTTCCAAACACACTTTCAGGGGAAACCTGGCATGGTTTGGAAAAATATTGACCAACTCAAAATACAAAGATTTCCCAGAAGAAGCACCACCAGAACCCAACTTCCGTAGCAGTTCATCAATAACCACAAGATGACCATTGAAATGGGAAAATTAAGGAAATTAACAAATTCATCAACCTCCAAATTAGTAAGATTTCTAACATGATCTGCAATTCACACCCTGATGCCAGAGGCATAAGAGAAATTCTCAGCCATGGTGGCCAAGGAGAACATAATAGGAAATCACTATTGCAAAGTGCCTCTTTCATTCCAACTGTGAAACCAAAGACTCACCTCTGCCCTGAAACAATCCTTCCATCTAAGATGCCCATGAAACTCGTCCAAAACAGTACTAACTTTCTTCCAAATAACCAACCATGTAGGAATTTACATACCATGGACCTCCATCTATCCAGCCCCATCCCGAATTTGGCTTTGATCACCCTCCATCATTGACTAACCTAATCATTCATTCATAAAATCATCCACTTCCACTTCCACCTCCAGCCCTCTTAATCCTCTATTTTAAAGTAACCAAAAAGGTAGCTGAAGGAGTAGTGGCAAGGAGGTGTGCTTATAACCTTGTGCCTCGCGAAGTAAATTTATCAGTATACCCATGCCACACCCACTCACATCAGCTCATATGCAGTA